ATTGCATTTACATTTTTTTCGTAATTGACAAAAAAAACAAACAAACAAAACAACAACGACAAAAAACGTGCATTTCTCTTTCTTGTGCACTTTCCCATTTTCACCTTCTCACTCCCAGATAAGTTCTAATAATAATCAAATTTAAATTAATGTAAGTGTGTTATCAATACATTTCAGCAAATTTTTATACCAAGTATGCATATATTTTGCTTAAGAATATTACACGGCCGTCCATATATTCTAACTTGACGTCATTTGCCCTATAACGTTACTAGACGCCCTAATAGATGTTAGTGTTATACTATAGGTGCATCAATGAAAGATATCTTTAAAAATAATGACTGTGATAAATTAAATATTATATTCGTTTAGGTTTGTTAAATTGTAACTGAATTTAAAGAACTCGTTTAAAGAAATAGTATTTTGCTCGCCAGTGGCTCGCATAATAAAATTCTATTCAACTCCTTCAATAAATTCAGTATTGATTCTACACTCAGTCCATATTCTCTAAAAATGTCCCTTATAAAGTGCACTATTTCTTTTGCAAGTCGGTATATTCGGTGATCTGCATTAAAATTTAACCATAAACATTACAAATGATCAGACAATATTATGTTAACATATTGACCATTACATCAAAAACAGTCATAATCAATTTCATCTGTTTTACATATTAATGTATGAATGACATGTGCGACTGTGATTGCACCAGTTTGAGTGTCGATTTATTTACTCTAATTACCACCATTGACAGTTCGTTTCACAATATCACCATAAATAATTGACAGCAACTTGATTGTAGTTAAATGTACCAGCCGTCTGTACACCTCACTCATTGTCACCAACGGTCATTACAAAAAGGTGTAAACTGCTATATCCCCACATCTATTGAAGCTACTTCTATTAAAGCGACATTATGCCCATTCAAGTTTAACTGGTCAGGGAACAGGTAATGCTAGTATTTAAAATAACTTATTTTAAATGATATTTTACCATAATTGTGTTCAAATTTTATATTTTACTATGAACAAATATATCAACAATCACGTGATCAACGGAAATTTCGAAAAATATCGTTCAGGATGTTTCGGTGACTCTCAATTCTCAAAAAAGAGTATGACAGTTTTTTTTTAAATTAAGTAAGATAACATAGTTAATTCAACTCGACAACAAAAATGAGCATAATGTCACTTTGATATTTTTTTTACGTTTTAACCTCTTTTCCCAATCTTTTTATGTACTGTATTCTCACCATCTTTTGTGAAACAAGTATATTCGTAAAATCCTACATTGTTATAACAAAATAATCCTTAATTGTATGCATATTAATACCCTTTAAAATGATTGCATAATTTCATCTATAAAATACACACATTCATCCACTTTGTATGATTTGTTGTTCGTTTTTATCTTTCCTTAACATTTAGTTCGAATGGAACTGTCAATTTTTAATTTATTTCAAAAGATTAACTATTAATGGTGATTGGCCAATGATTTATATTGCCAAATTTAAGGATAAATTAAAAAAAAATAACCTTACTTAAAATAAAAAACTTCATTACTCTGTTTCAGATAAATCACGACGATATATCTACACAATGTATTAATATCACGTGGGGTATTGATTTTTTGCCTATTTTGATTATTTCACGGCATTGAACTGTTCTCTAATCAGGGAGGGAGGTGGGGGGGGGGGGTAGTTTGTAGCTGACCGGATACCTCAGTCAGTCGAGCCGCAGTACGGTATTCCGAGGGTCCCAGGTTGAGTCTCGGTCAGGCTGCACATTAAAAAATTTGATTTAAAAAAGATGGAGGTGTTTCAATCAATACTCATGGAGAGAAAACAATATTTAGTGGGTTAAGTATGTAACACCCAAGTTACACAGAGCCATCGGTGATTGATCGGTAGTTTTTTTAGCCAAACTATGGAGTGAACCGATGACAACGTATTTAATACCGATATCACCTATTGGGCACCTGTTTTCCACCTATCAACTGCTATTAAGGGATCAATTGGGAGGGAGCATTTTTTGAGAAAACCTAAGATGATTCCTACAATGCAGAATTACGTCTGAATGCAAGTGTTGTATTGCTTTGAAAATTATACATCTTATCTCTAATTAGTGTTATACAACTAAATCCTACCGTCTGTTGAGGCCTTAAGTTTATTTGATTATCTCAGTATGCATGCTACTTTGCTATTTTCATTATTCCTACAATTTTCTTGCCCTTTGTTACAAAACAACACATGGGCTAACGAAAAGGTATATTAATAACGAACAAAATGGCCTGAATAAGATCCAATGTACGTTGAATGTAAATATATTTGTCCTCTCTTTTTTTTGCTACAAAATTTACCACATCATTTGTCAGATCCAAGATAACAAATTAAGGAAAAACTAAATTCTGACATTACCTCTACGATAAATGAAGTTTTTTGCGTGTTTTATGTATTTTTATGACACCTAAAGGAAGAGAAAGGTTCATGTTTGATCTGTTACAGCTCAAACAAATTTTATTTAGGGTTAAACGGTTAAACAATTCAACTAAATTCAATCAAAAAAATATTTGGTATAAAACAACATCTAGTTTATAGCCTGTTCTACATAATGTATGCATTTGTTAAAGTGTCCAGATTCAATACTAAACAAAGTTGTTTTTTTTAGTTATGTTTCTTAAATTTTAGAAATAAACTACACATATCACTATTACAGAAAAAGTTCAGTAAATTCAGCGTTGAAAGTCTACAATATGGGAACAAATGTGTCGGTCCATTTTGCATTAAATTTATGTCAAGGTCAGACAATGTAATCATAAAATTAGCGACAAATACTTAAAAAATAAGTAATGACAGTGTCCCGGACTAGAACATAACATATTTAGTACAATTACCGGCACTTTTAAATGACCATAAGTTTTTTTTATTCACATATGTAGAACATGTGATTTACACGACGCCTGTTAGAATATTGTCCTAACTTTTTATTGTGACAATCCGGAATTTTGCGGTAAATTTTTTTTTACGGTACTTACGGTCATTCGCTTGTTGATTATCTTGTTTTTATATTGTGTTGGCATGAATCCGTTTCGTAACCATTTATTTTCTATACATTCCTATAGTTTGTGTCATATATATATATTATAAAGAACATTTATATTTGTCTATAACACATAAAATTAGTTTTATTACAGTCATCATATATAGATCTATATTTATAATGCAATTTAATTTGGTACATGCTTACTGATGAACACTTACTAATTTGGTGTTTAAAATAACTTCGATAAATAGTTGATTTATTAGACTGATAATCAGTTTTTGCCTTGTAGCATATCAAAAAAGGTCCCAATTAAGTGATAAAAAACGTTTAAATAGTACTTTATTGAATGGGTTACAAAGCATTTGAAATACTGCAAGCATATTTGATAAAAAAATAAGTTCAAACACAAATAAGAAATGCCATTCATCATCGGTTTATTCACTGATTAAGTTCTAAATCGGATTGAACCTAGCTCCCGTATTAAGGACGCTTAAGGATCTGACAGTCACCAAAATAGGTCACCATCTCGTGTTATTTCAAACAGCCAATCATCGGCTAGCGCTGACATTTCTAAAAATATATTTTCTATTTTTAACTGTTGAGAATCAAAAGTAAGTGAATAAAAAATTGCGGCGTCCATGTTTTTTTTTGTGTGTAAAATAACATTGGAAAAAATGCCTTCAAATTATATTAATGCAATAATATTATTTGCCACAGAAAAAAAACAAAAAACATTCTAAATATATATACAGCGGCGTTTTTGTATTGTTTCACAGCATTTTTCCGGACATTATTTAATTAATATATTTTGTCGAAATGCTTCTCAATTATAATCTACGCAATTAAGTTTATTCTGTAATGCGTATTAGTCAGAAGGCGAACCTTAGCTGGTAACGCTCAGATCTACAAAGTCTGGACTTCTATTAACAGATCGAGTAATTGACTTATTATCTATTAATCTATGTTAGACGCTAATATGCAAACATTATTTTATTTCAAGTCAAAAACAGGCGACGATACAAGATACAGCTTTGAGGTTAACCCAACACGTACGTCAACCCGCCATTTTACAATGATAATCACATGATATTGTAATAAAACCAAAAATGTAAATTAAGCACCGGCAACATTTTTGGCGAATTATTCACTTAGTGTGTTTTCTGTGCGTTTTGTTCACTGATACGCGTAAATTAACGTAACACCTTTGGTATTCCAATGGATTTATGACGCCGGTGTTTAATGGGCGTATCAATGACTACGTTCTATTGAGTTACACTGTGTTTCATGTACATTACACTGTCGGTGTTTTACCGGTGTTACACTGTCGTTGTTTTATCGGTGTTACACTGTCGGTGTTTTATCGGTGTTACACTGTCGGTGTTTTATCGGTGTTACACTGTCGGTGTTTTATCAGCATAAAACATAACATCGCCGGTATTTCCCGTGCGTAACGCCGCCGGTAAATCATATATGTAAGAACGCCGGTGTTCACTTCTATATGTAGACTTACTTATTCTTTATAAAGACTGATTGCAACAACGAATCTAAACTTAGAATTTTGTAACATGAATTTACATTTTTATAAGGCATAGTTGGTTGGTATTTTCCCCTAAAATAGTTGCCCCTAGTCGTATTTGTACTAAAGACTGACTGTGTATAATTTAAACATTTACTAGGTAATAAAAGGTACGATGTTTATAATGTACATATTGTACATAGAAGAATAATCTCAATTGTTTTATCCCATTTAATTTAAAAATGAAAAGAAGAAGAAAAAAAACATTCTAGAAAATCTTGCATGATTAGCTCTTTATTCCGATTTTGTTTCCGATAATTAGATGTAATTAACTTCTCCCGTACCGTAGCAAAAGTACAAATCAAATGTATACTACCATTAATCGAATCATTAATACGTTGCCTAACACGTTCTTTTTTAGTATAAACCGTTACGTAAGAAACGTTATACCTGCCGGTACAGGGTCGTGAACTACCTTGGTAACGTACAGAAACTTGACGTTGCGTGACGTAAATGACAGGCAGAATATTTACGGTATAAATGTTCATGCTATAACAAAACACATTCTCGACACTGGATCTTACACCATTGAGCAAACATGTGAGTATATGTAAACTTTTTGGAATATTTCTTCTTTTGATTTTTCAGATATGCAAGTTTGATTTTACGTGACGTTTTAAACATATTTGATTGGGAAAATCGTTTAAATGAGGGAGATAATAATTTTGTGTTAAGCAGAGAAAAACAGGATTGACTACGTATGTGTTGATTTTTTCTTCGGATATATTTATGGAATATATATGTATGCCGGGATACAGCATTGAAGCGAGACGACAGGAAATAGTCTGAAAAAATGTGTTTCCGGGGTTCCCAAAATAGTTTTAACCGATTTTTTTGTGCAATAAAAAAAAATAAATACAAAAATAGTTTTACTATTTTTGGCTACATAGACATGTTTTATGCGTGAAAGAATGCCTGGCAACTGTCCAAACAGTTTGGAAAAAGGAAATAAAGGAAAAGAACTGTATATTCTAAATTGCCATTGTTTTTTCTAATATTAATATCTCTAAAATGTTTAAATATTTTTGTTTTATTTCTATATTTTAAATGAGGGATTTCTTTATAATCAGATTTACATTATTTTTTTACTAAATATGTTATTGTTGAAGATCAAAGTACTGAAAGAACTAAAGTATAACTTGTAAAAGGTAATATTTATGAAATAAAATCTAAGTTATTTTTCATAAAAGTGAATTAAATAGGCTAGTACATTGCCGGTGTCTGTACTCTTTCTATGTATAAGATAATACGGAATGAAAAGGTAAATATCTATTTTAAATTTTTTTTTTCCTCCAGTATTTTCAAAATTTAAAAGATTGAATGTCATCTAAAACTTATTAGGGAAAAATGCATAAGGTATAATGCTTTTTATGGGTTATTTGTTCGACACATTCATTTTACCTAAGCTGTTTTTGTCTTCTTTTTGTCCATATGTAAACACCACAATACTTAAGAAGGCAAAACCATTAGATGTAACATACCGAACCATTGTTGCCTTACTTAAATTCAGTGTTAATATATTGTATTGTATTGTTATGCATAAGTTTCCTATATTTATGTATTTTTATTCAATCGTTGTTCATTGTATCATATTTGGTGTTCATTTTTCTATTGTTAACATCTTGTCTTACTTTTATGTGTTTTTATCCTAGTGTTGTTGATTGTTATCCTATTTTTGTTCATTTGTTTTCCTAGTACATATTTATCATTTTGCTATTATTTGAACATCTGTATCAATATTTTCATGTTTAATGTTCATGAGACAAAACATATCTCTTAACAAATTTTGTTTTTAAGGTAAACAATTCTGCTTGAAACAATAGTGTCATAACAATAGGTGTAAAACTTAACAAAAATAAGAGGGTGTCAGACAGGGTGATATACTTTCGCCCGATTTATTTCATTTTCAACATTACTCGGCAATTTGTAACAGTATTTACATAACTTTGAACGTCTACTTTATCATACTTTATCTAATAATGGCTTCAGATGATTACAAAGTAATCTTTATTAGCACTGCAAGCTGTCTACGCTGACTTACCACCTGTCAAAATGTTAAACACATGCCGTATTTAGTCGGACTAGTGATAAATGAGAAAAATTCTCCGTCATGACTTTTTATGATTTCAGACACGGTAATTTGACTAGTACGGTATAAACATATGCAAGCACGTAGGCATTTCAATAAAAATAGACGTGTTTATTTCACTGACCGATCTAATCGTGTAATGGTATACATAGTATATTTTATACATGTTTTGATACTTAATGCAATTAAATGTTATGCAAAACGCTCAATGTCAGCACAAAAAAGTCACAATGTAATAAGTTATACAGTTACTTCTCTACATTCGAGAGTGCCTAAACATAAAAAGTGAAGACGCACTAAATATATTTGACGATATATATCAAATGTATTCATACTCAATGCTATTTTAGTTTACTTATATCATTTTTTATAAATGTTATGTATACACAGACTTGTATTGTTTGGATAATGTAATAACTGTCAAGACCCATCACATACTGTCAAATCACACAAATTACTACGCGTTCGTGACAAAAAGAGACAAAATAGTGCAAAACTTGATGTTAAACACATACAGCAATACGATAGTGGACTATTTTTTCACTTCTCTGGAAACATTGACATGTATTCGTACTTTCTATGGATAAACAATTGCTTGAATTCTGTTAACGAATTTTACTAGTTTAGTAAAGTGCGCAAGGTAAAACTCTAATGTCGGCTGATAACCTTTTACAAGCTGTCAAATTTGACGGTCATTAATACTTTGATTGTAGTCATCATTAATTCTGCTGTTAAGCATAATGTTGAAATCATGACATTTAAATATGTACATTCATGATAAAGCGTACAGGCAGTTCTATATATACTCGCGCATCCGGTTAAAAGTTATTTATAGAAATTGAGGCGCTATTGGGGACCGGGTGGGCAGGGGTTCTGAAGAGGAAATTCAATTTTACATTGCCCTTAAGGCATTATCATGTACGTTCTCAACTCCATATTTCTTTGATCCTTTATAATACTTCTTTATCATAATCGTAATAATATTGACGATTAATGTTTATGTTAAGGCTAGTATTCGATATGGAAAAATATTGCCTTCCAATACAGTATTGTACGGTGTCACGTGACTATAAATTGTTGACAGTAAGACACCCTCATTCGATTTACAAAATGAATCATGTATTGTTGTTTTCATGTAACAAACGTCATATTTCTAAATAAAAGGTTAATTACATTCCAAGAGTAACGTAGGTTAGAGGTTTTGTGACGCAAATCGTCAAAGTTATAAAGCATTATTCTAATGTACTCGATATATTTGTTTTCATCACATGGGAGAAATCGTATGTTTAATTCAAAACATATCTTATTTTAAAAATAGTGTTCATTTTATCATTTTCTAAGAATGTGAAAACTTATCTTTAAGAGTATTTGAACCAATGAACTGTATCTTTATAATACATGTAATAAACAAGTGATTTAATATTTCTATCGAACAATATGCTTTCACTATGGTTATCAAATGTATGATAAAATATATAACACATATGCTTTTATGAAGGAAAATGAACAAAATGAAAAGAGAAAGTCTACATCCAACTTAACATAAAATCACGAGAAAAACCCCTCCAGAATAATAAATAATCAAAATGGAAACTTCTCATACCTCAATAATGCTTGTTTGCAAATATATGGTACGGTGAATGGGACGGGTAAACACATTTTATTCACAAGGAAGGTTTAATCGCCACCCATAGCAATATAGTCACGCAGCAGAGTAAATGAAAGATTTTGAACAATCTTTTTTGAAATTCGTTTTCAATTTCCTCAAAATCTCGGAAAGAACCAGAGTTCTGTCAGAAATCTCATGATTATCATTGGCCAGTGTACATTTTTTGTCAATTTCTGACCAATCAAATGCCTGCGATCTGAGTTTGAGCTAAAGACAGAAGGGGGAGATGAGTTAGCGGTTTTCCTGTGAATAGGTGCTTGATTGTGAGATAACTGTGATCATTACACTCTTTCCTTGTATGGCACAAGTTCTGGTAAATACCACGGTCCACGGAGCGGGCTTGTAAGTGGTTCATCTTTCATCATTATCTTGTTAAAAGACATATGTTAAATACGAGAAAACCTCTTCCTGAACATTAAGTGAAGAAAATGCAAGCAGAAAATGGTAATAAGTCTATGCTAACAAAACGATTAAGCGATGATTGTTTCTAAAACACCCTTTTTTTGTTCATTTTTTTTTTTAAATTGATTTCACCTTTTAAACATAAAATCTATCATCCTACATGTGTTTTTCATTTTTTCCAGTGAAAAAGAAAATGTTTGTTATAATCTGTTGGAGTGCATGTGTTGTTTATGGTATCTTAATAAAATTATTTAAGGAAAATATTCAGTGGGGTTCAGCCTTTACAGAAACTCAGATCAATGTTATGTCTCAGAAAAATAGGTCAGTTCTCAGTAGAATACAAACGAGAACTTCACTTTTACTAAATAATACAAAACCAAACAGGAGAATTTATTTCGTAATAATTTTCATACAAAACAAAAACATTACTGACATAACTTAAGAATTTGTTGAAATATAGCTTAATGTATTTAAAGGCTATTTATGTCCCTCGGGATTTTGAATTAAGTTTAAAATGACAGGTTTTCACGTTTTCTACAAAGCATTTAAACAAAATGTAAAATTTGCTTAAGTATTTGTCAACTTGTTTGTATGATTTATAGTAAGGCATACTCATTACGATTATAACAAACTTTTTTAAGCTTTGTAAAGAAAAACGCAAGTGACAATGGGTATGAAATGGAGAATAATTTCAATTTGTTATGGTGAATTGGCCCATAAAATGGAAGGTATATATTTATGTTGGTAGTATTTAGTATCATATATGACAACAAACCATGAAATAATTACCGGTATATATGGATGTTGTTGATAAGTGTGAGATACATGATCCATTTTTACATATTTATATATACTTGTAGCATAATGAATTAATAAATTGTTCTGTAATTAAATACACCATCATTATTCATATACATTTTCATTCTAAATCATTTCAAATTATTTCTTAAATAGATCATTGGAATATCTTAATTATAAGAAAAAGATCTATATTAAAGTCAATATGCTTCATGAACATTTGGCAATTGTCTGTAATCGGAAATTAAATGACTGTAACTATTTGTTTCTGTTTCTTTCGCATTACTTTCAGTGTAAATTATCCACTGCGTTTTAACAAAAGCAAAACGTAACTGTTCCAATGCAATCGTATCTACTAGTATATTTTTGATTTTTTCCTGATATTAGCTATAATGACCTTTATGTAGACCAAACTGATTATGACCTTTATTCGTCAATGACCTAGGACTCGAAGGTCAAATTATTGATAGTGATTGATTTTTCTATAATTGGCTATAATTTGTTATTTATGAATGGATTGTGTTCAAACATGGACATACAAACCTTTGACAAGACCTTTTTGCAGACCCAGTTGATTATGGCTTTTATTAATCTATTTCATTCATCAATGACCTTGAAGGTCAAGTTAATGTAATTTCACAGTTTCTTTTGCTATAATTGACTATTACTTTGTAAGTAATTAATGGACTGTTTTCATACTTGGCACAACAATTAACGGGACAAGACATAAAACGTCATAGATGAACTTGACCTTGACCTTAATTTGACCGCTAAACAAAGTCAAAGTAGTAAAGTTTGCAAATGTTGATCTTATCTTTGATTAAGACTTGTGGGAAAAACACTTAGAAGAAAAAACCGCCATGTAAAGTAGTTCAAATATGACATTGACTTTTATATTACTATGATTAATAAAGTTAGATATTAAATTATGTTTAGATTATCATATCTTTGCTATGTTTTTAAGGATCTGACATATACTTGGACATAAAAGTTCTTAAATTATTTTGAAATGACATTGACATTAAATTGACATTGACCGTCAAGGTCAAAATATTGAAATTTGCTTATATTGTCATAATTTTGTTATTTATTTACGGATTTGATTTATACATTTTTGAATCAAGTAACACATATGATTTAACAGACATGTTGAATTATTATGACCTTGATATTTAAATGACATTGAACTGTAAGGTCACATTATTAAGATTTTCTTAAGGTGTCATTGCTTTGTTAGTTATTCATGCGTGGACAAGATGCCACATACCTGATCCATTACATCCTTGCATGCTTTAAAAACTTTTCTTTTCAAAAAGTAAGTCTCCCTAAGTTTGCCTATTTATCGAAAATACAGTTTTGATTGAACTTTGACCTAATTTTGACAAATAAAGCTAAAAATCTATCTATGTCAGAGTAATCACAAGGAATTTGATGTGATGTCATTATTCAAAAGTGATTAACTTGTGTATTTTTTTCTCATTTGTCAAAATGTATTATAACCGAACCGTTAAGCGTGCCATTTTACGCTTAATGTGTTACAACATAAATGATTAATCAACCCATAATTAAAAACGTATCACCATGAAAGAAATGTGATATAATAAAATGGTTAGTACCTTTAACGTTTATTATTTATAACATTAAAAGGAACTTTGTCACCTCTGAGTATTTCACTAACGTAACATGGTACAGAATTGTACAATAATGTTACAATTAAAACCAAGGACATTTTGTATGAAATATGTGAATTATGGTGGACAACTAAGGCTGTTGTTAAAGAAAACAAGTGGTTTAAAGGTCCATTAAGCCCCTGAATTGTTGTCATTTTTATTTCACAAAGTAACATGATATTTTGTTACTGCTTTCTACCCTAAAAGGATGTTATATCTTTTGCATATCTTGCTCTTTGGCAACTGTTACATTGGTAGAAGTTGCATATGTTCTTGACTTGTGCGTATTTCCTTCACATGTGTTTTTATTCAAATTTGTTAAATGGTTTATGGCACGTTCTGTTGTTTCTTTTTGTGTGTCTACATCAACCGGACGTGACGTCATTAATGAAGAATTATCGATTTAGTATACCATTCCTTGCTTTAATTACCTTCTTTTGAGGTTTATATCAAATCATTTTGGGATTTTCTAGTTGAGTTGTTGATTTCTATCATTGGACGGTGCGTTTTCTTTTCTGATCTTTGTCGATGCCCAGCTGCGTGTATTTTCGGTTGTCCGGTGTGACCGGGATTTGTTATTGGCTCCGGTCTGTGAACATCGTTATGCCATGTTCATCTTTGTTTTTCTTTATTTATAAAATGTAATACATTTAGAATGAAATAAAAAAAATGGAAAATCCGCCTTTCTCTACTGATATATACATTATACATCCTACCTGCATGGCACAATATTATCATTACAATTGATGCTCACTCGCAAGCAATCATTTAAACATTGAAGTGAGATCAAATTCACGATTGGAAATAGAAATAAAAAAGTAAATATAAGGAATGTGTATTTTTCCCTGTAAGTGTGTATTGTCACAATTATAAGTTGAAGATTATTTCTTAAAATTGAGTAAGTGCATAACTTGCAACACGTAAAATAACGAACATTTCTTGCATGTCAGTTCTTTAATGAGTTGGTAGATTGTTAGTTTGATTACCGATTGATTCGACAAAGAATTTTGTATCATACAATGTTCATAATGACCGGTCATGCCCTGAAAATAGTCCAAATACAGTTATAATATCACCCCCTTTAGATATTTTACGATCCTCGACCTATGTGTGTTTGTAGGACATTTGTATGAACATAATGTAGTATGACTTTATATCAAGTACATTAGAAGATCCCACAACATGCTAAAATATCATGTAAACATTTAATTTAGGCAGACCATGTAAAAACGGTGTAACTTAAATTTAATGCACGAATATCAAAATGCATTACAATGGATGACAGATTATTCTATTTAAGGTTTATACACGTTTTCCTGCGCTCAATATACAAATATATAACAGATTTTTATGCTACTTTGTGATTCACATGATCCTATTTCATGCTACTTATTGGTATTTCATGCTACATGTTTTTAAAGTTTTATGTTATGTTATGCTTTTACGATTTACATCAAGATTTAAATGCTTAGTATTTAAGCTTTATGATTTACATGTTAATTTTTCTTTTATTTTATGCCTCATGATTTACATGATAATTTTCATGTCTTTTATTTTTTCACAATTTACACGTTTATTCTATACTGACAGTATACCGGTACTTATATGATTTACGAGTTACATGATAATTCTATTCTATTTTAAGTTTCACGATTTACATTATCTTTTTCTGTTATTTTATGCTTTACGATTTATATGAAAGTTTTATGTTATTTTATGCTTTACGATTTACATGGAAATTTTTCTGTCATTTTATATTTTATGATTTACATAATACTTTTATGATATTTTATGCTTTACGATTGACATTAAAGGGTTTTCATGTTACTTTTTGCTTTAAGATTTACATACTCATGCATATGTTATTTTATATGTTTTTGTAAGCTTAATGATAGAAATAGTAATGGCTCTATTATGCCCATTCAATGGTATATAATGATTGAATAGATAAAAGTCAAAATAAGGTTTAAACCGGTGCTAGGGAGCGTGGGAAGCTTGCGATTTCCAGTACCGTCCATGAAAAAGCCTAATCAAACCGAGCCTGCAACATTTTCAATTTTATAGTTTTGGGCGTTCTTTCGAGATTCTGTTTTTATTATTGTTTTAGATTTTGCCATAATTTCACTCAATTTTATTATTTACTTCGCATTAATAACTCTTGTTGCCTAAGAAATTAATAAATATACATCGGAATTTTACTTGTTCAATTTATAAAAATAGCGGGACATTCCTTTTATATTTGATTTTATGCTAGTTATATTTTATCATAACCATTTTTCAATCTCATCTGTTGGCCAATTACCATTATAACAGTCAATCTTTTGAAATGTTAAGTTATTTCAGCTCAACTTGGCAATGAAAATATAAGCATAATGTCACTTTAATATTTTACTTTATGTCTAGTGATTTTTATGGTTGTTTATATTTTACTTTATGCTTTTAAGATTTTACTTTAAGACTTTATGCCTTAGATTTATATAAATATTTATATAAAAGCTTAATGTTTAAACGATTATTCATATATTTCTGTCCGCCTAATAATTCATACGAGCGTTTATATTCAAGCATTTATATATCACTTTACGCCTAATGACCTATTTGATCGTTAATGTTTTAGTTCAACTTTACGCCTAATTATTTATAAGATCGCTATTTTTTTCTTTTCGCCTAATCACTTGATAGTTTACACATTTTATGATTGTTCTGTCTTTCAACTTTAAGCATAGAATATGATGATTAACACATTAAACATTGCTAATATGAAACACACGATGTCAATGCATAATTCATGATTTATATTCAATAAAATGACAAACATTTATATTTTCAGGAAGGTGCCCATAGTTTTAGCGTTACTAGTGACATTGGCATGGGGTCAACCACCTCCCCCACCTCCGACACAGACATACCCACCTTCTCCACCACCACAAGCACCTCAGAATCCAGGTGCACAGGGAGGTGCACCAGCCGATGCAGCATCGGGACCTACAGGAGCTCCAGGAATGCCAAATCAGAACCCATGGCATGAACTTCTAAACCGGATGATGGAGCTTATGCAGTCTGCTGCAGTAATGGGTGGTCCATCACCTGGACAAGGGTCTGCACATGGACCAGATCCTGGTCCCGGAGCAAACCAAATTGCTGACAAGCCAAGTCAAGGACCACAGCAGGGCCAATATCAAGAGCAAGGTCAAGGCCAAGGGCAGCAGCAGCAACAACAACAACAACAACAACAAGGGCAAGATCAATTCACAAATCAGGGTCAACAAGGTGGGCAATATCAAAACCAAGGTCAACAAGGAGGACAATTTGAAAACCAAGGCCAGCAAGGAGGACAATTTCAAAACCAAGGTCAGCAAGGAAATCAATATCAAGGTCAACAGCAGCAAGGGCAAGAACAATTTCCAAATCAAGGCCAACAACAGACTAACCAGAATCAAAACCAAGGCCAGCAACAAGGACAAGGCCAATACCAAAATCAAGGACAAGGACAGAGTCAAGGACAACAGCAAGGGCAATGGAATCAAAATCATGGTCAACAAGGTCAGTCGACTCAAAACCAAGGTCAACAAGGGCAGTGGAATCAAAACCAGGGTCAACAAGGGCAATGGAATCAAAATCAGGGACAAGGTCAAAATAATCAAGCCCAACAAGCACAGTATCAAAATAATCAAGGCCAACAAGGACAATGGGGTCAAAATCAACAAGGTCAACAGGGGCAATGGGGTCAGAATCAAGGTCAACAGGGGCAATGGAATCAAAATCAAGGGCAGTGGGGACAAGCCCAAGGTCAGGGACAGTATGCACCAACACCACCAAGAACGCCAAAACCAACAACTCCAAAACCAACAACAACTACGACAGCAGTGGTTGTACAAGACTGTTTCTGGGAAGGGCGTTATTATCGGCCAGGAACTGACATTGTTCGAGGTCAACACGACCGATGGTGCTACGTGACTTACTGCAATTCTGAAGGCAATGTACATTTTTGGGATGACTACAATTGTCCACCTAACTCAATGAAACCTACAAGTGGGCATACTGCAGGACGTCCAGGCGGCCCACCAACACCAGCTCCCCCAACACCACCTCCCCCAGCTCCTGTCCACGGTTGCAACCACAACAATATGTTTTATGAACCTGGACAAGAGATAACAAGTCATCAAGTGGGGGAAAGATGTTACGGAACATACTGTAGCCATGAGTCTCAGGTTATTCAATGGGAAGATTGGTGTGTTGCTCCAACAAGTCCCGCCCCACCAGCGCCAGCACCGAAAACAAAGCCAGTTCATCCACCTGTTTTAGGAAATAATAATCCACGTGGTAAGAAAGGAGGACAACGAAAGGCTGCAGGTGGAAAGGCAGCAGGTGGTGGCGGGCGCGGTAAAGCCGCTCGAAAATCAGCTCCAGGACCGGTAGCACCGAAATCTGCTCATGTTCCTGCACCGGCTGCTCCTCCAAAAGCTGCAGCACCTGCTCGCCGTACTAAACCAACACAAGGGTGCTATCATAATAACCTTTACTATCAACCTAATGAAGACGTTATAGTTGGAAATATCGGAGATATGTGCTATGGATATTATTGCGAAGGAGATAATGTTTTTGTCCATTGGGAAGATCGTTGTGCCCAACAGCATACACAGTCAGCTGCTCCACCGGTACCACAGCATCAGACACAACCGGCAAATAATATGGGTTTCGGAAACTGGTTTTAGGGTGTGAAATTTTATAAATTGTGTCTTGCTGAAAGGTTATGGTTCTGAAATAATGGAATTGAAAGTTTGTTTATACTGAAAAGATTTTGGTTCCGTGTGAATCATTTTTGAGCTTTACAAATACATTTTTTCATACATGTCAAAATATGAGCTAAAAAGGCAATATTTTCTGGGTTTGAAAAGATCATACACTGAAAAAAAGTATTTAAAATGTATAAAACTATGTTTTTAAGTTTTCAGGCCCTTTTAATGATTTTCATAAATATTATTACTGCTTAAGGAATAAAGGTTCTTAAATTTCTTCAAAAAATCATGCATAATTAATACTTTTGATATAAATTGTTCGATTTATGTTAGATTCACCGCACCAGTACCTTTTTACATATGCATAAGTATAGTATATTGGAATATGAGTTTAGTAAAACACTGCATATATTTCATATAGAATGCAGTGCACGGATTAAGGTTGATTAAGTTTTCAAAATATAGATATATTAAGAAAACGGATGCGGAGCGTTTTTTTTTTTAAAAGAAACTATTTATTACATATAAATTTTGTATATATTTTTATATGTTCGTGAAATAGGCTTACGCTTTTCTAGCATAGGTATTCAAATTTGAAATTACAAATAAAATAATAAAAATAAGCGGTTGATGAGGGGGGTGGCAGAGTGCTTCACAAATGCAGCGTTTTTGCTATTTGATATTTTATTATTTAAATCTATATTTTTATTTTTGACCGCATACAATGTAAAGCTTAATTCTCGTTTAAGAATAGACAAGATACAAAGCGGAGACAATTCTTAAAAAGAACTCGTCAGAAAAAAAGTTGCATTTTTGCATAAACATTTCTTAGGACATTTGTTAAGTTTGTATGTCAAATCAGTAGAATTAAAAAAAAGTGATACTTATTGTGTAAAAGATGACTTCAATTTGTATTTCATGTTTCATTTTATATTTATAAAAAAAGACCTGAATTATCTCATGTGTGTGTTTTTGAATGTATTCACATATGAATAATTAAATCATTTGTCATTATGTACACACTAGACTTTGTCCTGCCTGTCAGAGTTATGGCGTTCTTGACAGACGACTATTATCGTCTGCACGAATCATGTTAGCGTTCGACATGTTTATTTCCCGTTCGCGCAAAGGTTTGGCTGCTGTCTAATTAAAATCGTGTTCCTCATATAAGGTACATAACGTTATTAAACATATTTTTTTATAATACATCAATGTGTCAAACATGTAGAGCTATACAGACACACATGTATGCACCTTTTTATAAATTAAACGTAATAAATACGTCATAAGTTCTAGAATATTAAGTGTATTTCCAATTGCAACTTTTCCGCCCTTGCCGTTAAACTTCGGACCTTGAACACAGTAGTAAGAATACACAGAACCATAAGAAACTAAAAATGTAAACAAATAGTAATTTAAGTCTGGGAGTTGTTTACTAAGTCTTTTCCAATTTATCGAGTAAAGTCCACCTAAATTAAGTAAGTTTACAGATATAAAAACAAACAGTACATTATATATATTTATTGTTATGGTGGGAGAAACCAAAAGTATAAAATTTCTATCATTTCTATTTGTTAACATTTTTTGTTTATTTTTCCCTTAGATGTCAAATATACCCTCAACAAATATTACACTATCTTTTTTTGTTACATCTAAAACTACATAATAGAACTGCTGCATTCAATCTGTAAGTCAGAGGTTATTATAGATAATAGCCAAGGTGTTCCGATTGGCGTATTCCATCAGTTTCTGTGTGTTTTAAAGACCAAGTAAGTGGCAAAATGACAAGGAGAAAGAAGACAAATCTAGTCAGTAAAATGCTAACTCAATGACGACATGCAACGAAAGATCACGGAATTGGTCGAACTTACTTTGTGTTGGTACTCATTAATTTGCCAACAGATGAATTGCATATATAGCGCACAACTTAAAGAGGCTTTCAGCTATTCTAAAGTTTAAATATGATATTTTTAGATAAATCGTTTTAATAATAGTCAAATAAAGATAAGGTTGAAAATAAAATTTGCCGACTATAGAATACATAAACAATTAGGAAACCCCCGATACCTCTAATCTGCCGGTACGCTATCTATATTTAAATTAGTAAATCGGACATATTCTTTCCCGATCTTCTATTTTTAGAAACGAACGTCACTAACGCGTTATAAATAGCTACAATGATATGATTTCCACGATAAAATGACTGAAATGGTAAGTTTGAAACAACGTAGAATTTTCTTTCAACAGAAAGTAAAAGCTGAAGGCCGTTTTAATTAAGCTAAAGGCGGCTTTAATTTTAGACTTTAATTTAAACAAAGTAAAATGTAGGTTATTTATATAAAAATGATCATGAATAAGTTGTCATATCATATGAACTCAACCAAGCCTATGACAAGTTTTATTACATTACTGAAACATGTTTAAATTTGACAAAATGACAACGTATATAAGACTGTGTATAATAATATTAATTGTGTATCATTTGGCTAGAAAATGAAGAAAATTGGATTTTTTTTTCATTTTTTTTTATTACTAAGTTCCTTATATTATGAAAATCAAATAGTTGTATGACCGAAATTCCTTCTGGTCTTCAAAAAGTGATTTAAAATTGACATCCGACATTTCTACAATGATTATTTAATGTATTGTTTATCCTTTATGATCTTAAGAATAATTAAATGAAATTAGAAAAAAACACTCAAAAAACAACACACACACACACGCACCCCCCACACAAAACAAAAAAATCCCTCAAAACAAACAGAATTCATTAAAAAGGTTCAAAATGGCAATACTGAAAATGTTACAGTCTGCATGAGCTTGTTCATGGACGGTAGTGATGCTTGCCACAACAACAACAACGACAACAACAACAACAACAACAAACAACAACAACAACAACAACGAAAACAACGATGACGACGACAACGACGATGACAACAACATTAATAATAATAGCAATAATTCCATAACCCTAAAACTTTGATTGACAAGCTTCTGATAATCAAACAAATATTTCAAAAAATAATTTTAATAGAAATAATAACTGCGATACTTATATCAACATAAAGTGCCAACATAAATTCTAAAATTATGTTTTCATATTGTCGGGCACAGTTGAATATTTATGACATTAATGATACACAGCCGACTTCTTTTTAGCCGTCTTAATTTTTACTTTCTTGATTCACAATGTATTATCAAATAATAAATTTATAATTCATTTTAAAGTCCAATTATGCCCTTGAAATACTGTTACTGTAATTTATCAAAAACGTTTAATTTTGTGTTCAAAATACTTATTATTGGCAAACTTCTTGTGATTCTCTTTTGAAACTCGCATTTGTACGGATTACATCATACTTTGCTAGTTATAGAACAAATAATTTCATATTAAAAGTTATAAAAATCATATTTGCCCTTTTTGTTTTTAATTTTTATTTTATTTTCAAAAAATGTTTCTAAATTACTTATTTGTTACTATAAAAACCTAATTAAAAGTACAATTAATAGACAAATTAGATCAAATAATATAATATAATTATAATATAATTAACTAAGTTAAACATAAATAAGGAAATATGTTGATGCATAGGAGTTAAAATATTCTATCAATACATTAGTAACTCATAAAGAAATATTGCAATACAACCGAATCACAAATCGTGTGAAGGGAACAAATCTATTCTATAAAATACTAAAATAAGCTTAAGTCACTAATGATACGAGTATATCAAACCCTTCCTTGAATGTATGGTAAAGTACGGGTTAGTTTAGTCGGACAAATGCAAGTGAACGCTTATAGAATGAATTAATTTTACTGAAGCCCAATAGTGGTTATCTGTTTTAAATAAATAAGTAAATTACTTTTTGTATTTCTCTTTTATAAAAAAATCGTTGTCACACGTTGTAACATAAAAAAAAACAGGGAGATAATTCAATGTAAATGTTTCTATTTTGGAGCAGACAATGTTACTTCTCTTAGTTTTAAACAGTCGATACAATTTTCAATTTTATAAACAAGATTAGTCAATTTTATTTGCTATATGATATTGTTTGGCAATATTGACTCGAGACATTTGAATATTTAATGACCTTTTGTCGGTAATCATGGGATTTCAAAGTTAACGAGATTAACGAGCATTCGAACCCGCGACTTCGCGATTACAATGCCATTCTACTTATCACCAGGCTATCGGGTCGTAATTATGCAAATGAAGTATCGAGAACTTTTCATTAGAAATTAATGAGTAAATGGTAATGAATTACGGAAACTAACGAAAAACCTCCCGAATATTAAGCAGTCTCAGGTCAATATATTTCCAAACAATATCCAGATATGCATACAAGCATTTCATTTACATGCTGCAGTACATTGACAGTAACTGTTGTGAAAGTGATATATAAAATGATATACATTGATATTGAATAACTTCAAAAGAAATTTTTGCACTTTTATCCAATCAGTTATCGTACAATTTCTTTACAAAGAAAGTGCCATTCAAAGGAATTTCGAAAACAATATTTGTATTATCAAAATGACCTCGTTAAAAGCGATCTCGTTTTAAGTGGAATAGATTGTAAGTGTTAAATATATGATTGAATTTTGGAATTTATTATTTACTTTGTTTTGGTGTGGCAAAAGTAACATGGCAGATAAGCAGATGACTAGTTCTCAGTTACGGCAAACATATAACTTTTTGTATTCTATCTTTTAAAAACAGACTATAATTTTGACTTGAAAACTTGTTCCAGCATAAAGTCCAATTTTCATTGTTCTTGTCATGGAATTTTTCAAACTACAGACCATATCTTTATCAATTATCTAAATTTATGTTTCATATAAGTGGATTTTGAAGAAACGATTAAGAAACGATTAAATAAAGGCCAAAGAATCAGGAAATATAATGTTTTTCTTTAAACACACAACAATTTATTATTCCAAATATGATAAGCAAAAGTAATCAAGTAGATGCAAGCAAAATTATTACATTTACATATTAATCGGACATTGATTTAAGTGATAAAAGTTGAGCGTATTTTTTAGTTTACAGTTATGATAAATATCAGAAATTAGCATATATTTTGTAGTGTTATCATTTTCTTTAGATTGACACCCTTTCAGTGTAATTGAGGAAATACTACATAGATTAAAAAACCTTTCCAATTCTTCAATCCCTCAGGAATATCATGCCGTTCCATATTCATAAACTTTTTATATTTCCTTAGTTTCGTTTCTATAGTAATAAATATATATTAATTTCGATTTTGTTCTTCTGTTTGTCAGGGAGAATTGATATTTATCTGTTCATTCTGAGAACAAAGTAAATCCGAGGTTAATAAAAGGCCAAGTTTTAAACATTTCACAGGGATGGACAGAATACATTATCTCTTGTTTTAGAATGATTGATCCTCATTTTCTAAATTGTTTGTATATGATAATATTGACTATTTCAACATTAATTTATACCTTTTCTATAATATTTTTTGTCTGTTTATTGATGCTTCCTAAAAATTATTGCAAATTTCTTCCGTCACAAAGAATTTGAATAGCCATTTGAATAAATTTAATCATTTTTCGCGCCAAAATTTCAACAAAAAATTACCTATGGACAAAGTGCAATTGTACATGTAGCTTATTTCCGATCTAGTATGCATGTTATCAAATAGAAATGTATTTGCTTTTGTTCTTCTGTTTGCTTTTACATGTGTCCAATGTTTTTATGGCAAGATTAAACTTTCCTGGAAAAACTTTGTAGTCCTACGGCCTACACGGCTTTTGTGAAGCTATGCCCAGATGTCTCAATTCCCTTGTGTAAATAATATAACAGAACATCCACCCTACATACTGTATGCATTAAATATTTTAATAATTTGATATTTCTATTAATATTAGTACTGATATGACAATATGATATGATATATTCATAAAGGAATGATATATTTCTATATCAATATTGTTAATGTAATGGGATAGACATTTCCTACATTTATATTTTAAACGTATCAATAAGATAAAATAAATGTTCATTCATTTAATAGAAATACATTAACTATATCTTAGATATATCTTTAACAAAAGTCAAGTGACTGAGATTTACATATAATATTATTATTTTAATCTAAGCTAACTGATCTGCTGATATGAAATAATGTATTCCGTGAAGCGACTGACCGGATATTCACCTTACACATACCAACATACATGCTCAGCCCATTTATTGAATTTTCAAATATTTTGTATAAAAAAGACTAAAAGTTGCTGGTTATAGCTAATTTCTGTTCTTTCTTAAGTTTTACTTTCTGTTATTTTGTTGCTGTCTTGCACAAATCAATTCGTTGACTTCTTTATCACACCATTTTCACGTAATTGTGAATGCAAAGTTTCAATTTTGTAAATATTTGACATCGTCGGATACCTAGGAGGGAACGATTAACATTCATCTGCAGATCAGAATTTTTATATCTTGTGTCAAACTATAACCTACATGTATGATTTCCTGGGGTTTATATGTTTATTAGATATAATACTATATGTATTATTATTTTGCCACAAAAAAGATTACAGTTTTACTAATTTCATTATTGCAATCATCATTTTATGTCACGTATATAAAATATCAAAAGAGTGTGTATTTTCTTGAGAACATTACAGGCGTCCAAACATGAAATTTCTGCCGTTGTAGGCAGAAAAGTATTTTCGATACGGAAAAATATGGAACGCCACATCTGTCTTTTATTCACGCTTTTCGTGGTAACTTGTCAGAGGGATATGTGAACCTCTCTTTTCAGCGTGTTTACATGTCATGACATAATGTTGACTTGTCTATCTACCATTTGAATATGCCAATAAGCCATGTGATATTGTAAAAATAACGTCTTATTATATTGAAATAACATGCGAACTTCTCAGGAGTCCGTATTACTATGTTAAACGACAATGCTGATTTGTCTAACTTCCATTTAGATATGTCAATGTGCCATGCGATATTGTTAAAATAACGTCTTATTATGTTAAAAGAAAAAGTGAACTTCTCAAGACATCGTATTAATATGTTAAACGGCAAATGTTTTGGCATTAAATCTTAATCTTATTAAAATACATGTTTAACTCAATATGTTTTTAAGTTATGAATTAGGAATTCAAAAAGCCTTCTGAATAGGCCTTTTTCTCTTTTATCAAGGAGTTATAGAAGCCTAATGAGGGCTTTGATACTCTTAAGTAGGAGAGATAAAAACATTATTAGATAGAACTAAGTAGGAAATTTTGCTCTTAATTAGAAGAAATGTAAAAATAATAAACCTAATTACAACCAAGTGTATGTTTCTGTTACTACGGACATAGAAACAAAGTATGGGCGTAGGTTCGATGATATTTAAATTAATGTCAAATAGAAATGGTCAAAAAAGATAATAAAATAATAATTATTTTTGGCACATTTTGACCAGAAACTCATTAATTTTGGAGAAGTGTTTTATTAGTTCCCGCGATTAACGCTTATGCTTTTATTATAGTATATAACCAATGGCCATCTTTATCACAGATAAGGCAAACCAAACAATTGGACAAATACAACACAGAACTTAACGGAGCTCGACCATGTACATCAATAACGGAAATTGTCGAATCAAATTTATGGAAAAGTCACAGTTGTCATTAAAACATGTACATTATTTCAATCTGTGACATTACTCTCAGTAAGGAGTTTTAAAAGCCTCATTAGAAGAAATAAGTATATTACATGTATTAGGAGTTGAGAAATAAAATCTTAATTAGGACTTTGTAAGTTCAAACGAGGAAATCCAAAAGCTGAAATATATTTGAACTTTTTAACTTATAAATATGAGTTTATATAAAGAAAACATTAACAACTTTATTTCTCCTAAACCCAGCAAGGTAGAGGATATAGAAATACTAATCTATTTTTGAATTTCTTTATTCTGAATCTTATTTTTTCTATTTTTTTATCAGTTCTAGAAAATTTTAGCTTTAAGGACAAACAGCTATCTGTGCTCGAGTCTTAAAGATAATGACAAGTGCAACATCTCCTAATACACCAACGTTACTACTCAATCAGTATATAATATTCAAAATGAAAAAGTGATGAAACCAATAATCTCTAACGTTAAGAAAATTACAGCTCTGAGGTGATTTTATAGCTCCTTTTTACAACACTTACCACTTAATAATATGGAAAAAAACTGATAGAAAGTAAATCAATGACAATAAAATGTGAAAATTGCAAACTAGGTTTAAGTGTCAACATTTATTGACATACATAAAATGTTCATTAATATTTAGCTTTTTCAAGCTGTCTTTGTTTTGGTCTAAGAATTTTGATGTATTTTCTCTACCTGAACTATGTCCTTTAAGATCTTTCATTACTGTGAGTCTGCAAGCGATAGTTTTACAGTAAGACACTGTAAAAATCTGGAAGAAGGGTGATCCTTCGAAAGCATTAATCACCACAAAATAACATGAAATTTACAGACACATTTTGATTGAGTCTGCAAGCCGCACACCAACAACTAATTGGCAATAACTTAAAAATACCTTACTACACTATTTTCTTTTCAATTAAAATGTTTAACATATTTAAAACAAGATGTATCTTGTAAAAAGATACTCGGGCGAACTAAAGCTGGTTTATTTGCATATCGTACCTTAGGAAACATGGAAATAAAATCATAAGGATTATGATATTGAGCCCTTTTATTTAATTTTACGTTAAAATTTTTGACACATTAAAATCATATGCATAAGTCGACAAACACCATGTGTATTTTGTGTGTGTGTGTTTTTATTTTTGCTATTTCCATGCGCATGAGTAAACTGGGTCGTGGATGTAATTAAATGGTGGTTTGGTTAATGTTTGTAGCAGATCTGAAGCAGATTGCATGGTTATATAGAACTAATAATGTGAAGGAGTAGTCTTGGTTAATCAGAACTTAAGTATCTGACATTTAACTTGAAAGTAAAAGAACTTATGAATGTAGATAGTTCTTTAGATCAATCACAAATTAGACATACCATGTCAGAAAAAAAAATCTTTATGTTTTTTCCTTATTTTACAATGACCAAACAGATTCCGAGATTTCAGATTGTTATTTTAAAATGACCAGTAAAATTTTTACATATATTCAGTTCATCCCTTTAAATTTTACTGGAAGTCCAACCGAAAACAACAGACAGCATCCGTCCGAAAAATTACAATTTTATAGTAGTAATAAATACTTCCCACCACCAACGAGTTTTCTTTTCCTCACTACCAATTGCTGCGATTTCTTTTTTCAATAAATCGTTAATGAGACAACTGTATGGATGGACTGCTATAGAAAAACAAATGGGTCATACTTAACCTATTATAACAGAATTGCTATAAATTGGTCTTTCAACGGTGTTGGAACTTAGTATTGGACATGATCACGCAACTATTGGATTGTAAGGTGGATTAAAAAAATTGCTAATTTATGAATTCTAAACCTATTTTTTTTAAAAATGTCACTATTTTTTGAATGTTATAGAAATAGTCTGTTACTATAATTCTTACAGTTTTTTCATACTTTTGCTTTTGAAAGATAATAAATTGTAAAGTCGGTTTTGTAGGCTAGTTCATTTGACGAGATAATATTTTGTATTCACTGTCATTCGAGATAAACTGTTAGCATAGTGTCTTACATAGGCATCCTGGTATAAACGCTATCACATACTTAAACACGTAAAAGGCTAATAGTAACACGAGGTGTTAATGTCGTCTGACTGCAAAAGTGACTCTAAAGTACATTCAAAAGAAGCCGTCTCTGAGCATTACTTATATCATTTTTCTTAAATGCGCATTCACTCAGCCATTATGCAAAAATAAGACAGGCAATGTTTCGTAATGATTAAAATCATGCTTACTAAACCTTTCGCTTAATCATATGTTTTAATTTAATATTTGCGTGATCAAACGTTCAATATTAGGTGCTAGCATTATTGATATACCGGCTTTTATTTGTTTCAACAACAAATGAATTACCACCTACCGTTTCCATCAGCAGAAATTCGTACTGACGAGTTTTTTTATATTATATTGAAAAAGCAAATTGTTTTTAGCATTTGTTCCACTGGACAGGGAGGACTAAATAAAACACACAGGATTTTATCAAAAACTGTAATCATTGCAGTATTATTTGTAAAACAACAGTTTTTATTGAAAGAGATATTTTTTAAAACAATTATCAGTAAGTTGTCGAAATGCATACACCTCAGCTTACTTACATAGTGATACACATTGTAACGATGGCGTACGGACAAACGTACACAGACATGAACGATCTTCTAGGACATTTGTTCAATGAGACACGATATAACAAACTTCTGAGACCAATACACAACCAGTCCGTCCCGTTGCAAGTAAGTTTATTTCTTTATATCAATTACCTCATGCTGTTATTAAATTTAAAATAGTTTCAATGTTTTGTTTGATAACATATGATGCATTAGAGTATTCCGACAGTTATTATAACGACAATAAATCTTACGTTCTAATTACTAGTTAATTAGAATATCTATGGTCTTAATAGTGGTGTCAAATAAAGTGCAAAGCATATAGAAATGGAAAAAAAATGTGGGCTTATAAAAAATAAGCGGAGTGGACTTAATTGTGGATGTTTGATAATTTAAAGAAAGACAAGAAAATTCCGTGTCTTTATATGGGGTGGGTGGTCTTAATCCCGGTGCATTCAAAATATGTTTACTGCCGTAATAGGCTGCTTTACTACATGTTTTGAAGACTGACTGAATGCTGATCAAGCCTAGGCAATCATTTGATTTCTGTTTTCAATATACATTGTAATCATTATTGTTTTCGATATGTTTTGGTACGTTTTTTTAAATACACATTATTGAAATTATTAAATGTTAATATTTTAATCTACATGTACATGTATTCGTTTTCAACTTCATTGTGAATAGTGGATTTTCAAAGATTTGCCTCTGACTCACTTTTATAGATTCACATTTCGAACTTAATTTTCGGCCAGGAGCTAGTTGATTCTTAGTTGTGATAACTTTTTTCGAATGAAATAGAAAATACAAACCTATTGGGAAAAAGTTGTTGCTTCTTCTAGAATATTTTAACTTCATAACAAAAGTAACTACTTTTATTCACTTGATTTCTAATTTTGTAACATAGCCATTCATGGACTTTCTCTATTTACAAAATTCATACAATACTGTATATATTTTATAAACGCTCGCCAAATCTGCGAAAGTTTTAAAATGCTGAATATTCCAACTACCGATGCTACAAAATTGCATCAATTTTCATTATGATGAGTTGCAGGAGAACCATAAAAGGTATATGAAACGGTTTACCAATAGTGTTGCTACTTTCAAAAAGAATGCATTTTTAAAACTTCCATATCAGCTTCATTAACCTTTACAATAGAGTAATGTTATAACAACAAAAACACTGTTTGATTCAATAACTTTCTATGTGAATATGATAATATTTCAGGCTGATTTTACAGCGTATCTTCTAAGCGTAGAACGTTTTGACATCTCGACCAGGGAGGCAGTCATCACAGCCTACTATGACATAAGTTGGAGAGATGAATATCTTACATGGGATCCGTCTGAGTATGGAGGCCAAGAAATTCTCCAATTACCCGAAGGGAAATTCTGGATGCCTGATATTGTACTGACGTTACAGCCGGTGAGTACTGAAACATCAGTTTACTTCAACGGCGCATTTGCTGCTTGGGTTACGTACAAAGGGGACCTTACATTGATTCAAATTGGGACGTACCAGACAAGATGTAAAGTTGACACCACGCTTTATCCATTTGACATTCACCAATGTAATTTTCAGTTTATTATGCTGAGTCATCGCGTTGAAGATCTGAAGATACGATTGCCAACAAAAGCTGTTGATACCGACTTACTCAGGAAAAATGGTGAATGGTATATTGAAGATACAAATGTAACGGTGGTTGTTACTCCTACAGGTTTTAAAATAAAGGGCTACATTTCAACTGACATGGTAGACGTATCTTTCACTCTAAGGAGGAGACCGACATTCATTATCAATAACATATATGTTCCTATAATACTTATGTCAAGTCTAAATATAGCAACGTGCTATGTCAGGCCTGACTCCGGAGAAAGATTATCCTTCGCAGTAACATTATATTTGTCCCTGGTTTTCGCTACAACTGCAGCGATTGAATCGATTCCAAATAATTCACTGAAAATGCCATATATGTCATACGAAATACTAATGATAAACTTTATAAACACCATCGGCGTGGCTTGGAGTATATTTATAGTGCGCCTCTCAAATATAAAGAACATCGATGAAAAAAAGATTCCTAACTTCCTACTGAAAATGGTAAGAAAAAGAAATAAACTAACCCGGAGTTTTACTATGGAAACTGATGTTGAATCCGTGGGATCAGTTGATTTACCGAAATACGACGATGTTAAAGGTAACGATGAGAAATGTGAAAAAGATGCGGATTCGATTAAATCAGTAATTTGGAACGATGTAACCGGACATGACCTTGCTGAAGTAGTTGACAACATCTACTTTTGGTTGATGTTTATCGCCATATTTGCACTTCTTATTTCTTTTGCTGCAATTGTTGTAGTCCAATGGGCACGATCGTAAACGCACAATGGAATATAGAATGGTACATTTTTTTCTAATTCGTTTTCATTTTGCCTTTTTGCACATAAAAAGCACAATTTTAAATATCGTATTGTTTTTGTTTGATTCAAAATAATAAAAAAGCAGTTATGCTTTCCTTTTAATTCATATTTCTATTTCATACTCAATGAAGACTTAAGCCATTGCATGAATTTATTATTACCATTTTATTGTATGTAAAATGATTCACGCATTTCCAGATTTTTGTTTGAAGTGAAAATTTACTTCTTGTCAGGAAAGACTATAAGGCGCACGAGTTCTTCTATAAGTATAGATATTCAGTTTTCGATAGACGATGTTCTAAAGTATATTTTATCTGTATTGAATGAGCATGAATATAAATGAAATAACTCGTTTTATATATACCTTTTCATTTATTTCAGCTTTCGTTCAACTACAAGCATGAGCTTTGACATTTACGCCTTGATGTTTGATAATATCAGCATTTGTTTCAGTTTGATGTTGTAGGAAGTTAAAATCTTTTAAGATACGGTGAACTAATCTTAATTATTCTATGAGTGTACAATTTTATCTTTACACAAGGAAACGACGACCTGCTCTTGACGGGTCTCATGCGACTAGAAATCCTTAGACGCTTTTATCACTTGGTGACGCCGCCACTCAATGTATTATTATTTACCTTATGTAAGATAATGATAGTTTATTTTACATTTTCGATTAAGTTCATGTCATACAGTGCACGCGAAAGGAGAGTAACAATTTGCATAAGAAATTTTAGAAAAAAAAGAAAGAAAAAACGACAGCAAAGTGTTAATACCTTTATGTCAACGTTGAACTCATATGACATTTTTTAAAAAATCGCATGTTCGCATGTGGGCATATGTTATCTTTTATCTAAATCATATTTTATTGGAAATAAATAGGATTTCTACGTTTTAAACAAACTTTTGTGATGATAAGATGTATTTCCTTTGTCGACCGTCCCATGTCGCATTGTCAATTTGAATTAAAATAACTTTCAAAGAGGTCAATAGCAATAGTTTTTTACACTGAGCGTGCCTGCATGCGCATAAACGCATATCCTTTTGTATCAGTATAAACAAATTTCACTTTACAGAACAAATTGTATAAAATGTTAATACAAAGAAGTCTGGTTTAAAAAAGATGTTTATGACGGCATAGTTTTATCTCTTTTCCTATAAAAAAGGTTGCTAATTGATTCCAATAACTTGGGCGTTCCCTTCATGATCTGCTTATTAAGGTATCTCCTGATTTTTTTAGTTCCTTACTGGATTTCCCTATGGCCGTTCTGTGTGACAGGCTTTCTTTACAAGTCTTTCTTCCTTGTTGATTTTTGTTATTTTATTATGTGATGGACTTGCCAAGTCAGTCTATGTGCGGGAAGCTAAGACCATATTCAAATAGACTCAATCAGTCCAATATTGAAAGTATATTTGCCATTTATTTTAGCTACTTTTGTAAGAAATGTCTTGATGTTTTAACTAGATCTTATAAGGAACTGTACAAATAACTGTATCGAATAAAGGAATTATGATGTACTGCAATATGTCAAAATGGTTACAAGAATCCTTTACACCCTAAAACCTGTATACAAAATTGTTTTTGGATTGCAGTTATGATATGAAATAACGACATACTGCAACTGGAAAAAAATGACCCGAATTAAAAAAAATGTTTTCGTATTCACATGATAAAGAATTACAATAACGTTTAATTTGTACTGATTATTTGACTTTGTACTTAAGAAGTAAGTTGCTAAGTTGTTTATGCTGTATTGATATTGTGTATGTAATGCCAGTGCTCTAATTACATGTAATACACGTTATTTAAAATAAGTTATTACACATTGTACTTTTAAACGCAAATCATGATTAAAATTGGAACCTTCAAAAGAACAGACAGTCGTGCGTTTCACATTCAAAACTATTACAACACAACAAAAGAAATGAAAAAAAAAATATCAAAGAAGCAAAAGAGCTCAACCCCCACCCAAGAACAAGCAAACATCTAATCATCTTTCTTGGCTTGTGGCCCCTTTGACGTTAAAGAAAACAATTTAACATAATATTTAAGAACAAGTTCTCAAAATAACCGCTGAATTACATCTTAGTATTTATATTATAAAACCAATTTCTCTTATATTCGAAGATACATGATATGTTGTTTATACATTTTATGAGTATAACGTCCGTCTATACCAGCAGTAGTACAAATATAAAATACACCATTAGTTGACCGAAACTTTGTCGGAGAATAAAAATGAAATTAAAACATGAAGGTTACGTGCCCGTTCATTACAACTTACTCGTACACTTTTTGTATCATTCTTTTAAAACTCAAATCACTATGGATATTGACTCAAAAAGAAAAAAAGGATAAGTTAGCAATATTGAAAACAATATACATGCAATTATAATGTCTGAATGTGCGTAATAAATCTTTAACATATTGATTAGAATGGTAGATACAATGATAAAGTGACATACTGCTAATCAACGACACTCACTTTAGTCAGCATGCATTCAAATTGAAGATACATGTATCTCCTTGTTTGCTGTTGTTCTAATTGGTCAATCAATATGAATGCCAATTTCTAACCAACTGTTTATGGCGAGAATTATTTTTTATCTTGAAAGTTGTCAATTTTGACTGATTAAAAGAGAAAAATTATTGAAGTTATCTGTAAAAAATCTGGAGAACAAGTGATCCCACGGAAGCATTAATCAGAACAAAATTACACGAAAATAGAAGATTCAGTTTGATTTAGTCTGTATAGGAGGGATAATGAAAAAGTGCAACATCCTGTAAAAGTATGATAAAAAGATCAAGAAAGAAATGCGGCGCCCAATGAACGCAACCCTCATACGTAAACCATTCTCTAAATGACATTGAATTTTTTATTTGTCACATTCATTACTAATATTGCCGTTTTTTCAGATTAAAGAAACTAATGAAAAATATGATACATTTAATGATACTTTCCATCCAGTTATAATCGGATTGACCTAAAGGCATGTAGATTCTAATATTGATATTGCTAATGTGATGAGATAGATATTTCAATATTGAACCAAAATACAATGAATATCTCAGATATTTGCTCAACAGTCACGTGATTGAGACTGACTATCATAAGTGATGATCTGATGATATGAAATTAATAATATAGGAAGTGAAACTTCAAATTATGCCACTGACCGGATGTCCTTCTTTTAAAAATATATTCGGTCCAGAAAAATATAGATTATAACTATTCTCGAAGAATGTCCAAAATTGGAAAAAAATGTTGAAGGCTCGATCATTTAACCTTTAATGTACCACGTTACTGTCATTCTATGAAAAGCAGATTATTAAAAATGCGCTATCCTAAACGAGAAGCAATTGACAAAACTAAATAATTAGAATTTTGCAAGAAAATAAATGGTTATGAAGCCTACACAGACACGAAGTCAAAAGACCACCTTTAAAAGCACGCAACATTTACTCAGGGTGCTTACATAGTCAACTGTGTACAATCAGTATAAAATAAAAGAACAAAATATTGTGGAGGCCCCTTATGGAATAAAATCAAATTTTTTGAAAGGGCGACAGCAACATCTTGGGCATTTTCGCCGGTCATAATAGCCGATCATTCCGATTGGTATACAGGTATTTGATTATCAAAAGGGCAGACACTCACATTGATATTTCCATAGACTTACAATATAAGAATGGTCCCTTATCCTACCTTAAAATTCAGTTTTCATGCTAAAGAGGTATTTTTTCTAGCAGAATGAAATGCCTGACACATAAAAATGTTCCTGTTATATAGGGGTAGCCAAACATTTTTTTGCAAAATGAATTCAAAGAGGATTACCCCCCAAATTTTCTGCTGATCACAGGACTGACATACACTTTTTATAAATGCAAATATCCAAGTCAAAATTATCACAGAGACTCATGAAATATTTCATTTTCTTCAGAAAACATTGTATTGTTACTTTTTAAATTAGTTTTTATACTTAAAAATACCCCATTTTCATCCAATCGCCTCATGTATAAACTGAATCATACGGTTTTCCCTGCTCTTTTTTTCAGCCAATCGCTGGCCGTGTTACAATACCATACCCTGACCTAAAATGAAATGTCACGAACAATGAATAGCGAGCTGGAGAAATACGCAATGCAAACATATTCAAATGAAATTATCTAATCCGTCAAATTAATCGCGTTATTCGGTATTTTTTTATTAATCTTTTTGTGTAGTACACACAGTTGGTTATTGTGTATTGCTGTACCAATAAATAGAATGATGACATCAACATTGTGAATGTCCGAAATCTATTTATAGAAGTAGTTTTATTTTAACGAAACACGCTATGGTTATAAATAACGAACTGGAACTGGAGAATTTTGCAGGAAATGAAATATGAAAAATGAAACAAATTCAAACAACTAATTGCACTTTGGATATTATAGACCTGTATTCTTTGGGTATTATCGTAAATATTGATAGAATTTCAAGTTCCTGTGGAAAAATGATATTCTAATCACTCGCTTCCTATATATGCAACAATGACCAAAACATATCCTATTGAAATAACCAATGTCTTTTGCAAGCTTTACATCTGCCTCTGTTTTCGTTATAGATCATAAAGCGACAAGTCACAAAAGTTCTACATTAGAAACAATCAATTCAATAACATCAACAATATGAAAAAACGTGTAGCTAATTGGCTGTAGCAATTCAGCGTTTTAATGATAAATACTCGGATACTAATGCATTTATGTGTATACTACCAACAAAGTATCAAATACTTTTTAGATATTTGAGGTGGAAGCATGAGTAGAAATTGGATATTTGGTGTACATATATTCATGTTCATTACTTCTTTTTATCGTGTTTCATTACAGGAGGGGGTATTCCAGCAGATTGTAAATTAATATTGCTTTCAAAGAATTTACGTATCTAGTTTTAACAATACGTCTGCTGTTTTGAT